GCTTTAAATAAACTACTAATAAGAAAATACGGTCATACAATAACAAAAATTACGGTGCATCTCAAATAAACAAACCGTTAAATTCTAATAAGTTATACCTGTATATGCAAGACACACATGTGTACTACTGTAATAGTGGCATAATGCGTTAGAATGCATAAGACATTATGAAACTTGGACACCGAAAACATTTTAAATTCAGTATACCTAACGGTATCCGATACAACAATAGAAAGGCTATAGGTCGATCGAATATTGGCTACGTTATCATTGATAAGATCCTTAGATGGCTTACATCGATTATACACGTATTATTTGTATGACTTACACTTCACAGGCTACACTTACATTCATCTGGCAATGACTCTTCACGAATTTTGATTTTAAAAATATGATTTATAATTTATAAACTGCTTAGTTATTGTATATTTCATTTCCTTGTTATATGTTTATATATTTATATATAAATTTTTACATATTATGAAATAGTTTTTCTAAGTTATGCTACAGAAAAATGTATAATTATTAATAGGTAAATTTAAGATAAAACTTAATACCAAGCAAAAATTAAAGTACATAATATATTAATAAATATCGCTTATTGAATATTATATTAAAAGTGTATGACGTGTATAAAAGTTTATTTCCTACTTAATTCTTAAATAGTTTTTGTAGGATTTTCAAATTAACTTCCTAGATAAAACCATCGCGTATTTAAGACGAATTTAGAATTTCAATCGAGAATGGCTTAACAACCTGTTGATAGTCACGTATAAGGTACGTAATATCCTTGACCGTCGTGGCGGCGTGAAAAAAACGAAGTGACCTCTGAATGTTATTAAATTAAGGTCGAAGGATAGTTATTACCACAGTTAAAATAATTAATACTTGGATGTGAAGTATATTTTCTTATATCCATAATATTAAAGTAATAATTATTAATCGTAAATTAATATTATGAATTAACGAAAATGCAGCAAAATAAATGATATAAGTATTATTTTTAAGAGATTTTAGTATCATAAAAAAAATCGGTTTAAAAATTCTAACTTAATTTCCAAACAACTACTATTCTTACGTGTATTCATTCATATTCAATCCTTAGATTACATTTTTTTAAATAATTGATGAAATGATTATAAAAATGGTGATAAAATTACAAGTTATGATTGCATAATCTAATAAGCAAGTTAATAATTAATATTTTACTAATTAATTTAATTTAATTGTTATACACTTTATAAAATATACAGATTACACAATAGAGTCAATTAACATAATCGCAAATATTTTAAAACAAAATTTACACAAATTCTTAGATCAGTTTTATATTTTTTATATAACTTATTTCAATAATATTGTGACACCAAAATTCCTAAGTTCATCAAATTTTAAATCAGTTAAAAAACAATGAAAGAACCGGTAACGGTAATAACATTAGTATGCACAGGTATAACAGCCCCAGAAAGTGAGATTACGTTCAGTCCAAGGACCTCCTCAAGCTCTCACTAAATATAACTTACTAAGGTTAATAATTATTATACTGGATAACTAAATAACCTGACATATGTGTAAAATATATGTATATGTAATAGTAACAACCAAATATTAAAAAGAAAATAGAAGAGAGAGAGAGATATATATAAAAGGCAAACTGTTCAATACAGCCGTCTCAGCGGGTAACATTCTTGAATAATAATTTTTTTTTACCAGCGTTTAGCTCGAATGGAATCTGCGGCACTCCCAGCCATCGCCGACCGGACGACCTTCAAGTGTCCGCGCACCAGGTTCACTCGGTGTGGTATTTTGTTTTGTTTTTTTTTTTATATATATATATTATTATTTCATGATTATTTGCGTACAAGTACACAGTGAAGAAAATAGGGTCGTGTGTGTATTAAAATGAAAGACAAGAAAAAATAGCATGTACACAATGTCTCCATATATGTACAATAATAATAGTGTTTTTAATTGCTAATTGTTCGCGATTATACCAAAAACTACGCAAGCTCTTCTATTGCTGCCGCATACACCTAGAGTACAATAATCATATATTATTATAACCAGAGCAATATGAGCAGATCCCATATGATGACCATGACAAAACACATTATTGTCATGTATTTTATATGCTAATACCTATTATTATAAGTGAAAAAAATTGTGTTCAATGACTTTGATATACGTAAAAAAGAACGAAACAAACTTCAAAATAGAAACTAGACACAATATTTTTCCCGAATTATCTATCTATAAAATACTCAACTAGACGACTGTTATTAATATAATGTAATTAATTTAATAATGTAATAAATTAAAAACCTTACGAACTCAATTATGACCATATACTGAAAAGAAATAATCAATAATCATTTTAGCCCTACAAACATAATATTTTATTATTTTTAGTATTAATAAACAATATGTAAGAAATAAGTATATAATAACAATTTCATATTATGAACAATGACCACGTATGAAAAATATAAATTATTTTATTTCATTTGGTTACAGGGTATCAAATTTATTCATAATTATTATATCATATTTTAGCATAAACATAAATGTGTAGTGAATCACTATTATTTCAAATGACAAATAAGCATTATTATTAAAAACTATCCAATTTGTTTAAATATCAAAAATTATTATTTATTCATTTTATTCATTAATAATAAGTATTTTGGTTCATATTAATACAAATTAAGTGTAATACAAAAAATATTTATTATTTTCGTTTACTTGGAAATTAAATTATTATTTAAGTTTTAAAGATTGTTAAATAAGTAATATATGCTATTTTATAGTTTTCTAAATCTTTTACCTATAATATTCTTTACAACAAATTAGTATAACTTTTTAGAACTTTATTGCTTTTAAATCACACTGATCCACAAATCGTTTATAGTATAAGCATTATACTTAGGTTCATTCATCGCATGTTAAATGATTCAAGAAAAATTATTATTTATAAAAAGATACTATGAATAAATTATATTATTATCGACCACAATAAGAAAGTCGAAACTATAATATTTTTTCTATTCTATGACTTTTTAGAAAACTCAAAACAAAGTCTAAAATTACTATCACAAATCTGAAATATGTTACAAAATATTTAATAATTTATTTATCATACCTAATTCACGAGATAAATATTAAATCAATTGTTGTATGGAATTATTTAGACCATAAATAAAATTGATCTTTAAAATAAAAATTATAATTTATATATTATAGAGCAAAGCACTACATGAATATACATTTTTTAAAAAAAAAATATGAACTAATAATAGTTTGGAAAATAATCTTCTTCTTCAGCTTTTATAGGCCATTAAGGTCCATCACTGCTTCATACAGAGAAAATAATGATCTCAATAAAGTATTATAAAAAATAGTTAGTGCCTAATACCTATAAGAATTTATAATATTTATTCTATACTATACTAGTCGATGAATACTAAGCAAATTGAATAAATAATAAAAAAAATTTTGTATGGGAACATTGTTTTCGACATACTTTAAAAAATATTGTATTCTAAGCACACCAAAGATTAAATACGAGTACAATTTTTTTACCGTTAGCCGAATTGTGGTCAACCACATAGGGTCAATAACGTCACCTAAACTATAGCCAATCTAATATCGATATATTACAGCTGTTAAATTATAAATAAATAAACACTTAGAATTCAAACAAAGATATTCTTTTATATAAAACGATAGCAAATTCATTTTTTTCAAACAATTATAAAAATTGTAAAATCCATAAAGGTCATTTTATACACTATACATTGAAAAATGAATTTTTAATTACGCGATGCTTTATTTAAATAATATGAATATGAGCATAAATTTAATATTATTTATATTTTCTAGAAAAATGATTCAAATTAGATTATATTTAAAAAAAAAAAAATTACAATAGTTAATAAGGTAAACATGTCAAAAATATTCACAGATAATTTATTTATTACTCTCGAACGACTTAAAAAAGTATTTTGATTATGATAATATGTACTTAAATAATTAATACCTCAAAAACTACTAATTTAATGAAATTCATAAATACTTCTTAAAGTAAGTTTTTTATGGTCTTATTCGTTTAATAATACTTAAATATAAAGCGATTATATAAAAAAAAAAATCATTTAGTCTCATTATACCTCATTAGTTATAGCTTATGTAATATTTTACTACCGCACGTTAAAACTAAATTGTATTATTCTAAACCTTAAAAATTCATTCAAACGAACATGTTTATAAGTAAAAAATGGTTATTAGATATAACAAAAATGTATTTATCTCTTATTTATATAAATAGCAAGACTTTACTATTGAAGAACTAGCTGAATATTTTAAGAATTTAAAAGAAAAACATAAAATAACAATTTTAAATTTAAGTCATTGAGATGTTCAATGTTATTATTAACTTTTAATGATAAAGAAACTAACTAGGTATTTTTTTTATTTCCACGGAAAACTTTTTTCGATTGAGGACCGATAATATTCCGGTCGAATGGAAAATACCAACCAATTCACAACCCAAACCTCACAGGAATAATTGAGAACTTCCCTTGACCATACAAATCTTTCTCTTTAACCTATGTGTATTATATTTTTATAACCTTTCCAGTACTTAATTTACAACCGACAAATATTACTTTTGGGTAAAATCGTAACAACATAAGTAATACATTAAATGATGGTATTAATTTAACCCTTTGTACGAGTATTTAACCCTCGTATATGTATATATTAAACGAATTGACAAGAACGTATAATTCAACAATATCAAAGAAACATCGTGTACTATTTGTACATCTTCTACAATTTTTCGTGGACAAACCGTGTAGAACACAACGCATCTAAAATTCGCTATTAACGAAATGGTGCGATATCATATGATATCAAAATGTTGAGGTAAATTTGAACACATGTCACTCTGCGGTGCCGTGAACACGGGGAAATATAAAAATTAAAAATAATGTTGCACATACCTTGTAGATGCCGTCTACGAGCTTGGTGATCTCTTCGGTCTCCATTGTTCGGAACTAATGGCACGCGCACTCGTTCGATCCGAAGTCGGCCACGATTGCACTGACAACACGCGCGCGGGCGACGGACAGAGTATTCAAGCGCACGTCCTACGTGGTCGGGGCGCGCGGTATACGGCGGCGGTACGTGAAGAACACCGCGGCGTGTCTGTAACGCGGGAGATCACTGCTATGCACTCGGAAGGTGCTCGGCGAAGAGATTAGGTTTGGGCGCCGGGAGACGTGCACCGCGGTACGCGGACCGCAAAAGAACACGCACGCTGGCGACAAAACGCGTGCGAGCACGGTACGAGAGCGAAACGCGCGCGCGCTGACGACGAGTGAACGGAATGACGGCGACGGACGGCGAGCGCGGACTGCAGTCACGTTGCCACTGACTACTCGGCCGGCCGAAACGACAGCCTATAACGTTTACGTGTCTCGCGCCGCCGGATCGGTTACACGAAGTCTGCTCGGCTCCCCGCGTTGCACAACGCGCGCGAGAACACGATCGGCGGCGACGGACGTTCTCCAGAACGGGCGGTTGGACAACGCACACACACACACACACAAGTTCCGTCGTGACGGCACTCGCCCGTTTTCCGACGCGTGGCACACTCGCTGGTATGAAGATGAAAATAATAATAACAGTAGTAGTAATAAAATTCGAACGGTACGTAACAATAAAAATATCACACAACACCCGCGTCCTTCGGATAACAACAACAACAACAACCGTAATAACAACAGCTGCAGTACGTGTAGGAGGAACTATACATAATGCCGACGCGACCCTGCGCACTCCAACCGGTCCACCGCGGGATATGGTTATAATACAACGTAAATAGGTGAAGTCGGTACGATGGTAGTTAGGTAGGTAGGTAGGATAATGTGGTCAGTGTGTGTTGTGACTACCTATGGGGAGAAAGAGTTGAAAAAAGTTTTTTAGAGGTTTATTTTCTCAGGATCCCGAGTCTCTTGAAACACGTGTGCGCACGCTGCAGACGCAGTATAATGGTAACAAGACCGGAACGAACGAAATTATTTTTGAAGATGATTCATTTAGTGATATAACACTTGATTTTCCAGCGATACGTATTACATGGTAAGCATTTACGTATAAATAATAATATTATATTGAGTTAAGAGCGTGTATATTATTCCGCCTTTTTTTTTTTAGTTGTTCCAGACGGATGTTCCTAATGTGAATAAAACGTAAACAAAAAAAAAAAAAAACTGAAACACAAAAAAAGTCAATACTAATATTAAAATAGTACCTGTCTGTGCATAAAAATAAAAACGAATTGTATATCGTTGCTGCAATCTACTAATGGTATCAAGAAAACCATACATATCAAATGTCTAAAGCAGCTGTCTGTGTTATACAAATATTGAAGTACACAACTTCTACAAGTGTATATAACTATATTATAAATTACACAGCGAGACGATTTCCTAAATATTTCATTTATTTTTACGAGAACAAATTACTTCAATCAGCATTATTTGTTTGAAAAGTAAAACTAATGTATATATTTTAAACAATTACATAACATGGTTATCATTAAATAAAATTGTTTACCCAAATTTTTTTTTTTACATTAATAACGTTTCGTTGTTTTTATTTTTATTATTTTATTGCAACATTTTCAATTTAAGCTATCTAAAAAATATCAAGTTTCAAACGTATTATATTAAAAATAATGCTTCATTGTATAAAAAGATGCCAATACAATTTTATTCTGGGTTGAAATGCTTCAACATTTTTATTCTACTCAAATTTCTTTCTTTAAATTATTTAGATTCTTTTTAAAAAACTATTGTTAAGCATGAATAATATTATGCCAATTACTAATATTTATATAACTTTAATTTATATAAACGAACTTCTAATATAGATACTTAATTCGTTTTAGATATACGATAAGTTTTCTCAGAGATCAAAAATTGTTTTTTTTCTATAGCCCATGGATACCAAATAGTATAAAGTTTTATTAAAATAGTTACAAATTATTTTTTACCACATACTAAAAAAATTAAAGCATTATTATTAACAACTAAAGGTTTTATTCGTGTAAATAACTAATAATATTGATGTAATATTTTATACATTAATGTTATATTATATATGTAAATAAAACCATAGAGCGAATATTAATTTTTGTAATCTGACTTCACAAATTCTCAGAATATGCTAAAAAATTGTCTTCGTAACAAAATAATAATTTATCATTAATACCTAGTATTGCAGTATAATATATAAAAGTTATAACATTATAACAGTGCTTACGTAAATTGATAATATGTATTTATGACACTAACGAAATTATTGAAAATACCATTTTTCCCATGTAAGTACTTTCTTATTTTCGAGATAAAATAAGGGGTTTGAATTAATTTCACATTTCCATTATTATATACAACATTCAAGCGTGCACAACCTGTTCTTCATTTAGTAAATATAAAAGTATAGTTAGTTAAAAATTATATATTGTTAATAAATGTGTATAATTAAAATAATGGTCTCTAATAAATCTTAAATAGTTAAATAATAATCTAACCTATAGCTATATAGTATATATAGTAGTTATCTACATCCTAAACTATCTTAAGGACATCATTACATTATGATTAATATAACTGGATATCACTATTATTAGTTATTACTTATTAATAAGCCTCAGAAGTTGTTGCATTTATAACTTTTTTTTTCTATAGTTTGAACGTATTGCAAATTAGGTCATAAATTCGTTTCATTCAAGTACAAATTAAAATCTAAACAAATTTAGTGCAACTTTATGCAATTTTTGGATATTTTTCGAGTTGATTGCAGTTTTGTTGATTTTCCTTATTTTTAATACAATTTTAGATACTTTTAAATATTATTCACATAATTTAATTTTTTTACGTAAAAAATAATATAACGATATCAATAAGACGTCAGAATCACGCTATACTGGATGGACCAATCAAAGGCACTTTAAATCATCACGCTACTTCCGTACCAGGGTACGTGACGCAAGTGGGCTTCTATATAATGCACCTGCTCACTAGCCACTAGGAGTCAATCTTAGTACAGAGTAAAAGAAGGCGCTAGACTGTGTTACTGTTAATACTAGTCGTAACCGACTTGACTCCTGTACAGTTTAACTTTATATCTATCTACATAATTACAGTGTGTTATAATATATTCTTCAAAAGTGTAGTTTTCTTTCTTCTCCATCACTACCCGTCGTAATCCCCTTTGGGTTCATCGAAATATCTTTTTACAACTTTACGACGTTTGTTTTGAAACTCTGTAGAGATAGACCAACTTTTAGCAACTATATTTGCTTCTCCCAAGAAATCATTAAAATTACATCTATATTCTTTTAATTGTTCATAACAGTTTTTTAATAAATTGGATGCATTATCTAAATCAACTGACTTTGACTGGAGAATTTTAGAAGTTAGGTTTATAATTTGTAAAATTTTACATTGAAAAACTAAAGTGCAAATAAAATTATAATTTTCAATTTGTTTTTTAATCCCTTCAGCTTCATTTCGCTCATCTAACTTAGAGCTGCAAAATATAATTTTTGTTAAAGCTTTTTGAATTTCAACAAATCTAATTTTAAGCGCTAAAACTGCTTCATAACGACCAGCCCAAACGAAACGTCATTGAATAAAAACAAAATAAAATATAAATTAAAAGAACATTGAGTAACAACGACTGAACGACGGTCACTTTTTCCTAGAATAGTTCTAATCTGATCTAGTATCTAAGTATAAAATATAAATGTTACGTTCGATTTTAAAGACAAGCGATTGCGATACGCTTCATTGTTATTTCCATTCTTCAAATAAGAATATCATTAAATGTATAATAATATTAATATCGACAATGTCGACGGACTGGTAAAAAAAATAATCTATAAATATAATTGTGATCAGTTATTAAATTTATTTTATTTTACAAGAATATACATATATTTTTAAACAGAATCGTATTTATAAATTTCACTATAATGGTGATTTGTTTTTGAATGTACTATTTTTTTCTTGAAGGACCCTCTAGAGTCGTGGGCCCGTGGCCCATTGCCAGTCATGCCACCCTATCGTTACGCCACTAGACATAGCTAAATGGGAGGAGAAAATTGAAAAAATCCCCCACCCTCTCAAAACTTTTTACTTAGATATTTTTATAAGATACTAAGATACTAATTATATTAAAATAAGAAAGTAGAGTATTATTTTTTCTTTTATTACTCATATATTTGATTACTATGTAACAGTCATAACTAACATTATAAGTTACACAGTGTTATGGTAACCAACTTTATTGTTTAATAATTTTATTATTTTTATTCACTGTCGGGTGTAGTCAGATACTAGTTGGTTTGAATATATTGTAGATCATGGTTTTAATCATATAGTAAAAGTTATAATTAGATCGTTTTCAATTTGATGTATTATTTGTATTATTATGGACTATGTTTCTCCACGAATCCACGATAGTACGATCAATTATCAATAATCCCGTGAATTTTTTTTTTAGATTTCAGATAAATAGTATGTACTATGTAACTAAATGCATAGCGATAATGATCTCATCATCATTCTCATTTCTCATAACTTAATAACAATGATAGTATCCAGTAATATTTTAAACATGAACTCAGTGGAAGCCCAATAGCCCATTTAGTCGAGCTTACGTACATATTGTTATTTACATAGTATTGTATCTATAAATAATAAAATAAGCTATGATAAAGTATAATCATAGTCGTCATTGACCATTTCGACCAAAATACCAAATAAACATTACTTTGCTATAAATAAACAAAAATAAAATTATAATGGTTTTCAGTATTAACAACATTTTCAAAATTCAATAGTTCAATTGGATTCATAATATCACAAAGTATTTTATTTTAATGCACACTACATAATATAAGGAAAAACAAAAAATAATAAAATAATAAAAAAATAATGGGGGATCTGACCCCCACGCCCCTCTTGCATACGCCACTGTAACTCAACATGGTGGTTATCGGTAGTTTTCGAGAACATTTTAGAAATCAATAAAAATGTGATAACTAAATCGCATTCGTTCGTTTTAATTGCCACCCCAGGTCTAGTATACCACCGAAAACTACAAAATATCTGGTTTCAAACTTAGAATACTACTCGGTGTATAGTACACTTTTTATAAAGCACGAAATAAAATTCCTATTTTAATTATCCATTAAATAACACGAGAAAACAATAATAGTGTTATTATTTATGTTTTATAGTAATATTGAACTTAATTACCTATCTAAATAATCCCCCAGAGGCGTGCAATTATTATACATACGAGTGTGGGTGCTCATTAAAAAAGTATGGTGATTATAAAATATAATAATAGCCCCAGCCTTACCGCGAAAACAAAAATATTAAAATATACCTACTATTATACGAGTATTTAGAGATAGTTTTTGTTGTCGGTGGATAGTTATTTAAACGCAGTTCTTTATCCATATGGCGGTTTTTATCTCATTAAATTTTTAATTTTTCGAAACATTACTTATTTAATATGGGATTTATATTCAAAATATTACACAGACTATTTTATTTTGTTATTTTTTTCACGTTCTAGACCTTCAAACTGCATGGGCCCATTATAAAAATTAATAATCGATCGTTGGTCATTGGTATACTGCGATAAAGAGCTGCAGTAACCAATATCATACCTCTAAGGTAGGAAACCAGCACATAATAATAAGAAAAACGCATGCGAACACACACCCACATAAATATAATTATAATATTTATACACATATTATGTTTTGAGGAAATTAATTAAACATCATGTTATATAAATATATTTTTAAATAATTCGTCTTCATATACGTTTTACGTTATGTGATGGTGCGTTAAAAATCATGATGAATATTCATTGGTCTGTGCATACAACGGCGTGTAGCAGCACAATAATAATTATACCACGGATATTTAAGAACATGATCAAGAGTCATAATTATACAAGGATATTAATAATTTAGAAATGTTGGGGTCGTGATATATTTAATATGTACCCGTTTAGTACCTTGCCTACCTTATAAGATGTAGTGATTCCTTCCGTTAAGAATGTTAAAGCTCTTGTCTTACTTCAACATGACAAAATAATTGAATACGCATTAAAGAACGCGGGTTAACTAATAAGCCAATAAACGAGTAAAAACTACTCTGCTTGCATAATATTTTTTTGTGTACGCGCCTGTCTTCAAGCATGGACGTATTTTAGGAGGGAGTGAAGGGGCGATCTCCCCTGAATCCAAATTTAAGGAATTTATTATATGGGGGGTACACATTTCAAATTTTTTTAATGTGTATCATTTTATAACAAAATCAAATTACGCGTGACTGTGAATACTGAATTGGGCTATTTGTCGGGATACGAAATCGACTGCTTGAACAAGTAGAACATTTTAAATACCAAGGCAGCTCAATTAGTCAAGATCGCAAAAACATCATAGGAATAAGATGCAGAATCGCACAGGCAAAGTCAGCGTTTATGAATAAGAGAAAATCTTTATGCTCCAATAAAATAAGTATTATGGTGAGGAAACGCTTTATAAAACTATACGTAGGTACCTATGGAATGTGATGCTTTATGAATACGAAATCTGGATACAAAATAAGAAAGAACAACGAATCCTCAATCGTTATGAAATGTAGAGTTGAAAATAAGAAAGATGCTTCGCAGTGTCAGGCTGACCATGGTCACTAGGACGAAAACACATTCAAGGCTCCCATTGAGCCAAAAATATGTCGAGGGTCCCCCATTTATAAAGATTTATAAATTATTATAATAATCATTGTAATTAATATATTTTACGATACACTTTTAATGAGTTTAATGACTAGCGACTGCTACTAACTGACGACTATGACTACTAAACTTTAGTAAATTAAAAAAATTATTGTTAAAAAAAAATCTGTACCAATATACAATTTGTATATCATTCAAAAATATTAAATTGTATATAACTATATATTATTTATATAACATTATAGTATTATTATTAAATAGTCATGCTAACTATATAGTTAACTTAATTGTTAGTGTATTTCAAATAAGGCACCATTAAAAAATTATAATATTTTGCTCTATTTATTAGCACTTGTTTATCATTTTATGAGATGACATTTTTGGACGCCCTTCTGTAGAAATGTATCCGGGACCCTTTAAGTACCAGATTGATATAGATTCTGAGAATTAATTGGACAGAACACCGTACTAACGTAAGCATACTTAATGAAATAAATTAACGCAGAAATAAACTCAAAACCGTCAAAGCAAGACGATGGAACATGATTGGTCACGTATTGAGGAACTAAAATACTATAACTAACGGTGAGCTGTTAGTTAAAGAAATATCATAGGCGTGCGCAGGGGGTATGCAAATGCATACCCTAAACATAGAGCCTTCTTTCTAAAATTACAAAAAATTATTAAAAATTATGACATATTTGGTCTTAGGTATATTACGTGATTTTGTATTACATTATGATTTTTATTATATTTTTATATTCAATCCCAGACAGTTTAATTTATTTTTGAAACACAAATCATATGGTATAATAACGATTTAATGTGTTAATGAAATTAAGAAGTATAATAATTCAAGCGAGATTAAATAGCTATCTCCTACAGAACAAAAAATAGCTATAAATTAAAATCCCAAAAACATTATTGGTGATTTTAAGAACTCAAATGTACGCAGAATCTTTTTATGATTAATTTTGATTATTTATCAAATTTATTTTGTTTTTCATTTAAGTATATAATTACGTTTTTATTTATTTACCTTATTTAAACGTATTACTCAAACCATTTCAAGTATTATGTATTTAATTTTTTTCGTAATTTATTTTAAATTAAATAGTTATTAAGACCAGAATTTCAAACGCTTAAATTAACTTTCAGCTTTAGAGGAGGGGGTATGCAGTGACAACCTTTTGCATACCCTGAAAAAGAGGTCTGCATACGCCTATGAGAAGTACTATATATATACTTGAAGTATTCATTATTTCTTCTAATAAACGTAGTCATTTTATTATTACTTATAACTACGTGTTTTACTTTTAGTGATTTGTAACGACAAATACAAACAAATATGCATGTGCACTTCGAAATACTGAGATGAACTTAACTAAATTGAAAATAAATGCCAGCTATAGCAATCAGTTGTACTGTAGGAAACCAATATATATACAATGATCAGTCACAGCTTGGAAACTGTACCTTTACCCAGCCAAGGGGTTTTACCATTATTATTTTATAACTTACAATAATTATAATAGTAAAATTTGTACAAAACTAATAAATCAAGGACAATCCTATTTAATATGTTGGAAAAATATTCAATAAACTACAATATAAATATATTATGTTTTAACAACTAAACTAATACATTGTGATTTATAATATATATATATGGTAATATATTAGTTTTTATTAAATAATACATAACATATACATAACTAATATCGATAATAAAAAATATATACCTAAATTAACTAACAATCTCTAAGTGATCTATACAGTTTAAATAACACAAAATCTGATAAATCAAATATATAAATAATATGTATAAAAAATGATACAATAAACATAAATATTTTTAAACTAATGAATTATAAGAATAATTACACAAAATTTGTAAACCAGCATTTCAATATTCAACAGTAACTATATACAATAATTATTACAACTCTTAAACTTCAATAATACAAAAAAAAAAAAATCTTATAAATGAATCATATTTGAAAATTTTAAATATGAAATAAAAAATAAAATAAAGCACACAAAAAGAAAGAAAGAATACAATAATTTTAAGTTTGATAATTTACTCACAAGATACCAATAATTCAAACTCTGAGCATTTTGAATACAATATTAAATTTAAATGGCACGGTAATTATTGATGTTAAAAAGTTATATAAATTGAATAAATCCAACTAAATGTATATTAAATCATACATTTTAAATTATGATAAAAAATATGAATATATTGTCATTGCCTTTGCGGCATATTGTCCTTACTATAAATATTGGCACATAATTATTACGATATGTAAATAAATAATGTATAATATTAATGTAAAAAATAAACATAAAATATAATTTAGGTTAAAAGAAAGTAAAACCAATAAATATAATAAGTAAAATTAATTAATATCAATAATTGTACACATTTTAAAATTAGTTTAAAATACTTAAATAGATTTATTGAGATTTTTGAGGATAGTATAAAAGATGAAAATATAACTTCTTTAAAAGGCTCAACAACTATTATTATTAATAAAATAAAACTAAGTAAGAATTAACACCTATTTGCAATGATTTTACCATCTTATAGTATACAAATGACTAACAAAATTAAATTAAAAAATATAGCAGTTAAGGATATTAAATTTTCATTAATTAATTATAATATAATATGAATTAAAAGAGTAAATATTTTTGAAAATTTTCAGAATTTAAAGACAATTGTATACACTATTTACAATCATAAAGTCAGTGGAATAAACAAAGTAACTATGAAGAATTTATAAGATAAACTAGTGCTTAAAAAGTATTTATATAACCAAAATACCACTAATTTACACTAATAAGTAAATGCTAAATAAATCAAATTCGTTAAAATTAAATACAAATTTTAACACAATTATTCCATATGTTTTATAAGTCTTATTCGTTATTGTATAACTAAAAATGATCATTTAAATTTCAAGTATATTAATTTCTTTTTAAATGATCACATAAACTTATTATTTTTAATCATTACATTTTCATTAACATGTGATGTGTCAAATTTTTTTTATTTTATTTTATATTTAGATTAAACTAAAATATTTGGAATGCAAAAAAATTATTTATCAATATTTCTTTTAAAAAGGAACAGTAGCAAAAATGCACTACAATCATAATTCAAATCAGCCCAATGTATAATAATTTAGACATTACATCTGCTTGGGCCGACTATGGTACTTGGTCATTGCATACTACCATATTTTTGATTCTGAGGAGCAGCCAAACTACCAATTTGTTCTTCACTACCATCATATTCTGAATAGTCCTGAGTACGATTAATAGCTTGACTGATAGCATCACGTAAACGTTCTCTAAATGTTTTGCATTCCATATCAGAATTATTAGCAAAATCAAAATCTGCTACCTCTACCATATACCTAAACAAATCATATTTAAATTAATAGTTAACTATAAAATATTGTAACAAAAAATAAATTAAAAAACTATTATTAATTAATATGCTAACAAACAATATAATAAGTTAACTATAAATAGTACTAAATTATTTCAACATTGCTAAAAATTTTAATTCCTTATTTAACAAGAAAATATCAATTAACTAATTTATTAGTTTCTCTGTGAAAGTAATTAATGGATGACTGTTCATAAAAATCTTACAACGAAAACAAATTAATTTTGATTTTATATACATTTATAATACATGACTGTAAACTTTTTCCTAGAATATCCTATATTTTCAAAAAAATTAAACACAAAAATTAATTTATTGAATTTAGTTAATTTATAGTTAAATAAAAAAAAGTTATTGGTTAAATAATATTTAATTTTAATATTCATACCTTGATCTATTTTGAAAATAGTAAGCTATTCCAAATACAATAATAATCACTGCAATAGAACTGAAAGTTACAGGTACAACAATGACAGAAATTTGTGGTTGTTTTTTTACTGAAAATTATACAAAATATAAATAAAACAAAATAATTTTAGATTTAAGAATGTTCAAACCATATAAATTAATTACCTTTATAGATATTAATTCCAATAGGTGTTACAATTTTAGAAACATCATTAGCTGTGATGACAACTAATGTATAATTAGTAGGCTCTCGTAAATAGTGAAAGAACTGCATTTGGCATAGAATTAGATTTTTTTCAGATGGACAAACTTCATTACCGGTTACATTGTATGGTCCTTGTACATAGTGTGCACAGTAACGAAATGGACCACTACCATTACAACTAACCTAATAATTAACAAGTGTTTCATATATTATGTTAAAATTTAGAATATATTTTTATCATTACCTGAAGGTTTAACATTTCACCTTCTTGAATCCATACATTACCTTGAATTTTCACATTTTTTATAGGATCTAATAAAAACATAAGTATTAAAATGCTATAACTTATTAACTAGAAAAAATATGTAAAAATATACACTACTTACCTTTAACAAATATAGTCTGACTAAAATATCCATATTTTTGCTGATTTTCTAATTGAACAACAGATAATAATAAATCAATGTGTTTTTTTTGTTGACACTCTGATGTATAAGTTGAATCAATTACACTAAGAGGAAACTTAGCATACATTTTAGAAGGTGATGTAGTTGTTGTTGTTGTTGTTGTAACTACTGTAGAAGTAGTAGCAGTAACATCCATGGTAGAAGCAGAAATATTAGAAACAACAGTAGTGTCAGAAATGGTAGAGGTAATAGTACTCATGTTTGGACTGACTGTAGCAGTTACGACTGGGGGTACGAGTGCAGTTGAGGTTTTATTTTTATCAATATCTGCAACTACAATGCTAAGAACTTCATGTTGAATGTCTGATTTAGTATAATTAGTAGAAAAGGTAAAGTTTGTGGTATTTCCTTGGTATATACAGTCAATAAACCAGTAAACTGTAATAAAACTATTACTTTTATTAAGATATTCAAAATCAGCATCATTAAGTTTAACTTTTTGTAAAGTTTCTATACTAGAAGACACATAAGTAGTCTGGGGAGAGTGTTTTATAATATTGGTATTATTTTGGAACAGCAGAAGTTGACCATTTAAATTTTCTGTAAAATTAAAACATAATAAATATTTATGTAATTAATTCCTGAAAACTATTTTTAAAACTATACATTTTTTTATTCATCTTATTTAATAAAATAATTTTATTAAATTATTAATATTTTAACTATATATTTTTTTGGATTTCAGAAAAAAATACAATCTCTAACCTGTAACAGTTAACTCTCCACGGCCACTGGCTATTGGACGTTTGATAAATGGTATTAATTCTAATGAAACTTCAACTAGATATCTATAACTTGAAGCACCAATTGTTGTCCCAAATGGTATGTAGAATATTGCCACACAATTTTTAATAGTCGTCTAAATATAATTAATAAAACATTAATTTTTTTATAGTAATTTTGAAAAATGCACATAGAAATTTATAGTTATAAAATAAAGGTAAATTTTAAAAATTATTGAATAACAAACTACTTATGCAAATAAATTTTTTTTTTTTTTATATAGTTTATAATTGTAGTTTTATTACACTTTTATCATTTATTTTTCCTATTAAAATATATTTAAATTAATTATTTCATAAATTAAAAATAACAAAATTACTTGACATTTTTCATTATTTTAATTACATTTTTTTTCATATATTTAATAGGCATGAAAAGTATAGGGAGAAGTTAATACCTCTGTGGCACAGTTCTTTTTTTATATTTGTAATTATTTATTTATTATTATAACTATTTATAACCATTTATTTATTATAATTAATAATTATTTGATTTAAATTCAATTAGATTTATATTTAAGTTTTGAATTATTAAAACCATAAGATTGCAAGACTACAATATTAAAATCTAATTTCATCTTTAAGTTGTATAAGGAATAGGTATAATAACAACTTCCAAATAATTCAAATTAATCAATTTTACTAAACAATTAAAATTTAACTAAGATTTTTATGTTCAAACGTTAAAATTGAATTAAAATTAATTAAAAAATATTTATAATTGATTAAAATAAGTAATTTATATATTTTAATTAATTTGAAAAAAAAATAGAACTATTTCAATGAATTTTCTTTTTATATTATGCAAACAATTTTATTTTATACAACTTACACTTAAAATATGTCTTGGGAATGCATCATCTTCATAACGAAAAGTCAGACTTCCTTTAACACATATTCCTTTAGAGTCAACAATAGTGGCGTTCAAAGTAATGTTTGAGCCTGTAGTAACTGGACCATTATCTTTTAGTAATAATTGATAATCATTCTGATAGCCATCAACTAAAACAAAAAAAAAAAAAAAAAAAAAAAGGTAAAACATGCATCATTAAGTTAATCGATTACAATAGAAGATCTAATGTAAAAATAGACTAAAAGTATAACTTACCATCAATGCAATTCCAAAACAGGATGGTTAAAACTAAAACGCATTTAAATTTCCCTATCATAACTATTAACACATTCAAAACACTTATGAGGAATTAAACAATAAAATGAATAATTAAGTCGTAGTATTTATAAAAAACAAATAATTGATAAAAGTAAACACCAAGCAAATACAGTAGATACAATTTATAGGCGGTAAAATGAGAAGTAAAGTGTTAAGTGTAGCTACGATCTAAATGTTTATTCTGACTGTAGAGTAGTGAGTAATTGACAAATAAAATGAAAATTCACTGTTATCAATTGAGGCCTTATCAGCTTACATATGTTTTAGGTGAAATACTCAAAATTAATTAAGTAGCGCTAGGTTATGGCAATGGAAGTTTTGGCGCTAACTAGATGGTTTATTCAAAAAAACTTTTTTCAACAAATTGAGTTCTTAAGCCAATAATCTTTGTCTATGTCAGTGTTTTATACAAAATATTTTCAATTATATCATCCTAAAAATATGTTGGACGTTTGATGTCAGGACCTTTTTCTTTTTGGTATCATCTGTTTGATGTCAAGTACTTTTAATCAGATCTCCATCAGAAAATTTAGTTTCTAGAAAATTAATATTTATAGCTACGAGTCTATAATGATAGATACCTACAAATTTATAATTTACAGAAATAATTAATAACTATTTTAAAATTAAATCAAAAGGTATACATAAAATACAAAGTAATACATGAAAAACTTAAATAGATAGTAAAAATAAAAACAAAAAAACTTTATAATATTTTTTTATTTTATATATCTTAATATTTGAACAGAAAATTTTGTCAAAGATGTATTAAAAAAATCAATATTTTCAACATAATTACCAGTTTACATTAGAATATTTGACGGGGAATGTAACATGTATGACGTGTTTACATTTTTTATATAAAATAAGTTTTTTTCTCGAAAATTTTTTGCATTTATTTTAAAATGTAAGTTTTGGAGTATTTCAGGGTAATCAATCATATTATTTATTATTTTATAAAAAAATTTTAGTTTCATTTGAAGAAAACGGTTTTCAAGCGTAAGTATGTTAAAAATACTTGATTCCACTTCGTAGCCTGAATGTGGAGTTCTAAAGAAAAAACATTAAAAACATAAAAAACGAATAAAATTATTTTTAATTTTTTTTAAACTCTGTATGCTTGTTTTTAAATATGGATGCCAAATAAGTAATGCATAGTCAAAATGAGAACGGACAATAGGCTGGTATAAAGTTTTTAATGCAAATTCATCTCTAAAATTTGCACATGTGCGTTTTAAAAAACCTAATTTCGCAAACGCTTTGTTCCTAATGAAATATACATGGTCATTAAAAGAGAGTTTCACATCAAACCAGACCCCAAGGTCATTTACTATAGATACTCTTAATAAACTAATGTCTGCTAAAGAATAATTTAATATACTCGTCGTCTTTTTCATAGAAAAATTAATCGTAGAACATTTTTTCAAGTTTAAACATAAATCATTTTTTCGACACCACATAAAGATATTATCTAAATCAAACTGGAGCTTAATAACATCATTCATGGTTTTAATTTCTCTAAATATTTTTGCATCATTAGCAAACAGTAAGATTTTTGAATATGAAAATACTTTTGATATATCGTTTATAAAAAGACAGAATGATATCGGAGATAAGTGGTATTCTTGAGGAACTCCTGATGTAACGTTAATTTTTTCAGAAATATAGTTACCATGATTGATAATCTGAGTATGGCCTGTTATAAACGAATTAAACCACGAAATAAATGGTTAGCAAACCCATAAGATTCAAATTTACTAATTAATAGTTTGTGATTTATCCTATCAAATACTTTATCCATATTCGTATAAATAACATCAGTTTATGAATGAGTACTAAACAACTGTAAGATCAAGTGTTTGAATATGCTTAGGTTTGTAACTGTTGATCTGTTTTGTCTAAAACCATGTTGATCATTTGAAAGTAATGAATTACGAGTACATAATTTCGTAACAGTGTTATTTACCATTTTAGATAATAATTAAGAAATAATGGATAATTTTGATACCAAGCAATAATTATTTATTGAATTTTTTTACCTTTTTTAAAAATAGGAATAATAAATGATGATTTCCATTGATTAAGAAAAATACCGGTTTCTAATGATTTATTGAATAATGCAGTAATAACTGGAGTAAGTATGAATGCACGTTTTTGTAAAAATATTGGAGATAATTTGTCAGAACCTATTGCTGTTTTGAGATTAATATTCCATAGTTCGTTAAAAACATCAATATGATTCAGTTGAATTTTTGAAATAGGCCTTAAATTATTATCTAATTATGTAATAATGTCTATTTATTCATTGTATACAGACAATTTAAGAAATAATATCCTATCTAGCTTAGTAATTGTATTTAATTGACTAATGAAGTAACAACTGCTTTCGAACTTGTTCTTTATTAGTTATATTTACAAATCAATTATAGATTACTCAAGACAACACAATTTTTTTTTTGTCACGAACATAAATTCTTTTATATTCTCTATTTTTTATTTTTTTCCTATTAGCTAATAAAAATGTTTAAATTTTTATTTTCATTTATTCTTTTCAATTTCGTATGTACTGTGTTTACAGTCTGACCACTGAATGTTATAATCAATAATTCTTGTAACTGCCCATTCTAGCCGTTTGTAAATCATTGGTTTTATAAGTTCATGCCATTCTTCTCTTAATATAGAATTATCTGCAGAATTATCTGCAGCAATTCGATTTATGGTTGAATTAATTAACAAATCATTTTCTAAAATATATTAAAGTAAGAGTTTAGAATTATATAATATTTCTTAGTGTAAGAGAAAAAATAGTATAATATTTAACTAAAATACATTTTATAATGTTAGTAAATAATTAACTAGAAAGCTAAATAAATCAGTTTACAAATTTAAAAACAAATTCATACTCATCCAATAAAAACCTAATACACATAATATTCCATAACAAATTAATAAATAATAATTATTAATATTAAGGACCAGTGGTGTAGTCAATGGAGCTATAAGGCTTTTCATAAACTGGTTTTTTTTTCACATAATCCTTACAAATAATACTATAATAATAAGGAACTATAATAACTAGAGCTCGAATGTTTATGACTTGGCATATTTTTTTCGCGCAATCAGAATTATACTCTAATATGATATTAATTCGATTCCAAATATGCAAATTTATTTTGCATATTTTTGCATATTCAACATTTTTGAGCATATAAATGCATATGTCGATTGTTTCTAGATTTAATAGCATACATTTTATAAATTATATGTATAATATTAAACATTTTCCATATTATTGTAAATTATCATTATCGTTAATTGTGTGATTTTCGAAATATCAGCAAAATTAAAGTTGTGCAGTGTAATCCTAATCAGTGGCCTGCGCAGGAATTTGGTATGGGGACAGGATGCCATACATTAAAATTCCTTATTTTCAATCTTTATTCTTTATTATTATACAAAATAAATTCAATCAAGGAGGAAATTCATTTTTCTGGCTTTTACACTAAATTCATCAATAATTTGTTCTGTAGATAATGGAATGTCTCGATATATGTTCATTAACGTAATCCATTTAACCATGACTACCCCGTCGTATTTCTTAAATACGTTTTTATAAGTTAAAAAAAAAAAGCGCATACATGAGGGGGGATATATCCTACATCATCCCCCTGCGCACGCCACTGATCCTGATACTTAAAGCGCTAAATTATGTAAAATTTAACTTTAATAGATCGAAAACTAATTAATATTTTTTTTTTCATATTTATTAGCTGTGTTTTTTTTTGTCATAAAATAATTTTAAATACACATTCAAGAGATTATATACAATTTTTGAATTAATATTAACTATTTTTTTTTTTTACATATATTTATTGAAAAAATAAAATAAATATAATATAAAAAAAATATAAAATAAAATAAATTAAATAAATATTTAATACATTTTATGGCATATAATTGCATATTTTGACATTTTATGAAATTTTAGTCATATAACATCTGAGCTCTATAACTAATAAGTAGATAAAAAAATTGATTATATATCATCTACTACAATAGTTTACCTATTAGAATTATCGAAATTATTATTAAAATTATTATCTATATTTAAATTCTCATATTCCAAATTTAATTTTACTTAATGTCATTTCAATTATTCATTAGGATATGAGAGTTAAATAAGTACAAGTGTTTTATTGTATTCATAATTCTGCATAAACAATTAGAATAAATAATGAAACACTAAAATGACATATTGGAAAATTTATCATAGCAAATTGCAAATTTGATACGGTTATAAGAAGACGGCAGATGCCTTAGAAAATACTAGAATTTAAATTTCCAGGATATCTTTGATTAATATAGATATTAAACATTTAAGATAATTTAAAATTTGATTTCATAAGATTTATAGTAAAATTACTGAACTCTACCCGAAATCATTGATTGATTAAAGCCCGTCAAATTGTTATTTGACTCTTGTTCAACTTCATTATAATCAGGTTCATAAGTATGCAAAATCAAATCGACGTTATCCATTGTTATGTACATAGTTTTATATGCATTTAACTCGTACTGAGTAATCTCACCACGTTCAAGAATAAATTCTCTTTTAAGTAAAATTACAGCTGTGTGATTAATAATATCTAAGAATTTTTCTCTAAACGATTCTTCAAGTCCCATACAATGACACAAACATTCATCAATACTTAAATGATTTTCCGTTTCTAACATGCGATAAAGACGATTCATCTTATCATTATGGTATTGATATTTATTAATTACGGCAGCCTTGTTTTCGGTAAAATTATTTTTAACAATTCGATTGATTGATTTCACATGCATATTTTTTTCGTATGATATGATATTTTGCAGCTGAAAGTTTTTAAAATTAATTATTATTTAGGTTCACTAATATCGAAAGCCAGTGAAATACTATATAATTAAGAATTATTTTCATAGGGCATTCCATTAATTAATAGGTATGTTAAAAGAATAGTAATTATTTGATTAAAAATGATAAAATATATTAGTTCAGTATCTACATAATTATAAATTACTACATATTAAGAAATTTTAATTTTTAATTTATATACGCATATATGTATATATATATATACATATATACGCATATATGTATATATATATATACATATATATAATAAAATAATAATATAAAAATTAAGATTTCTTAATTAAGAATTCATATAAAAAGTGTATA